TCATGTACTTCTCTGTATTAACTAAGATCTGTTTTATAAACCATGATTCTAAATTTGAAGACATTCACTGGCGCTATCTTTGCTGGAGATGTAAAGATATGAGCTCAACAACTGGAATTATAGTAAACTATGCAGATGAAACTCTTTTAGTTAAGTCTACTAATTTCAAAAATCAGTAGCACTTTTAACTGAAGCTGAGTTTGTTGCTACTAATAAAGAAATAAATGAATTAATATAAAGCAGCTTTTTAATCAAATTCTAAGAACTTCAATAGATTATAAGTTTAAATGCATCAAAATTCCAGAATTCCATGAATAGTCTCCAAATGAGATTCTCCTTCAAAATTCGGAAGGAGCTGTAGAAAGTCATACTGCAGCTCATAAGATGCCCAAGGGCTATACCAACAATAGACACAGTCCTACACTCCCTGTTGCCGTAAAATTCTTAAGCTGGTCAGGCAAGTGAGATACTACATGAAAGAGCTTCATGAAAGGACAAAGCATGTTAATAGTGAAAATCAAATTGCTGCAGAACATATTAATAGTTAATGGTTTAGATGTGATAATTACTTAAACCATTAACTTCAACAAACACCATTTAACATTCAGGTATCCCCCACTTATCCAGTGGGTCAGGAACTATAGCACTGTCAGAACTTCAAGTCATCAGAATTCAAGCAATAAAAGTGAGTATATATATATATATATATATTATTTATAGGGAGTGGGTATATATATATATATATATACAGGGTGATTATAATTAAAGTTTAAGTTTCAAAACGCTATAAAAAAAGAACCACTGATGAAAATGATGTGAAATTTGAAAGGAATGTTATTGAAAAATGCGGAAAGCGTATGGCAGAAGAAAAAAATTAGTTTCAAAAGTTAGCAACAGATGGCGCTGTAAGCGGCAGAATCACGACGAGAAACGAGAAATGATTCGTGAAACAATGGCTAAGGTGGAAGTTACACATTAAAACGCATTGACAAATTAGAATTGTTGAATAATTTTATTTGCATGACTGTACATATCACATCGAAAGGGACAAATCGGTTTCAAGAGTTTTGCGGCGACATACCACATAAGAACCATTCATCAAAGAAGTTCGGAACTGTCGCGAGACTGGCGCAAAACATGTTCAATATGGCGTCCACCGTTGTGTGCAACAAGTTGAAAGTGACAAACAGCATGTTCCACAACGGATCGCAGTGTCTCCGAGGTGATGTTCAGAATGTGTTGCGAAATACGTGCCTTTAATTCCGCTAAATTTGCAATTGGAGCACGGAACACAACATCCTTCAGATACTCCCACAGCCAGAAATCACACGGAGTAAGATCAGGCGATCGAAATGGCCAGGATGTAGGGAAATGACGGCTGATAATTCGAGCATTTCCGAAATGGCGCCTCAGCAGCTGTTTCACGGGATGTGCAATGTGCGGAGGAGCGCCATCTTGCATAAAAATGATTTCATCCACACATCCATGCTGTTGCAGACCTGGAATCACGTGGTTGCACAAAAGAGACGCATACCTCTGACCAGGGACGGTTGCGGGAACAGGACCGGAAGCACCCGTTTGCTCGAAAAAATATGGTTGTAGGATGAATGATGCCGTAAAGCCACACCATACTGTGACCTTTTCAGGATGAAGTGGTACGGGGTGCGTTGCCAGTGGATTTTCTGTTGCCCATATTCGACAATTCTGGGTATTCACGTATCCTGTCAGATGGAAATGGGCTTCATCTGTCCACAAAATTTTCCACGGCCATTCATTATCCACTTCCATGCGAGCCAGGAATTCTAACGCAAACGTCTCCCTAGCTGTCAGGTCAGACGGAAGCAACTCCTGCACATGGCCAATTTTGTACGGATAGCATTGCAGAATGTTTCGCACAATTTTCAGCACTGTGATCATAGGCCTGTCCAATGTTCGGACAATTCCTCGTGCACTGCACGGTTGCACACCACCGGCCGACCCCTCCGTTAATGCTGTGTCTTCAACTACCGTCGAATGGACTCGTTTTCTCCCTCTACCAGATTGCACATCAAACGAACTTATCGTTTCGAATTTTTGCATCATTTTCTTTAGACCTACGACACTCATTGGACTAACGCCTTCTTTTATACCCTTCAGTGTCCTGAAGTTTTGCAGAGCTACTCTTGACAATCATCATTCTTGTAATACAGCTTTACGAGCAGAGCGCGGTCCTGCAGTGAAACACCCATGGCGAACGTCTGAGACGCGAAATGAGGAACAGCCTGGTACCTGGTGGCTTTATAACACTGAAATTTAACTAACATTTTAATTTAAGCCTTCTTTCGCTTGCAGCGCCATCTGTTGCTAACTTTTGAAACTAAATTTTTTCTTCTGCCATACGCTTTCCGCCTTCTTCAATAACATTCCTTTCAAATTTGACGTCATTTTCATGAGTGGTTCTTTTTTTTATAGCGGTTTGAAACTTAAACTTTAATTATAATCACCCTGTATATATATTATTTTTTTAGCTAACAAATGCATTTTAGTCTTCAAAAGTTGTAATTAAAGTATTACATATTATTTACAAATATGTGTAAAAGATAAAAAGCATTCTTTCAATAAAATAAACAAGATTACTTCTGGGTGTTCAAAATATGTTTGACAATGTAAAAACTGGTTGGTAAATGCAATAGTGTGAGAGCTATCTTTAAAATGTGGGCCAGTGAAAAAATTCTGGACTCCTGTAAAGTATTCAAAAATTATTTCAAAATCTAACAATAATGTATCAGTAGTACTGATTATCTTGAAAGTTTCTCAAGTAAGGACTAGTGTGAAGATATATGTAAGTCGGTCAATAAAGAAAGGTTTGCATGTGGCAAAAAAGCAGGATGTAATGTAAAATTAATAGCACACATGTAGGTTTGAGAGATGTGCTAGCAGGATCTTGTAGATTATAAGTTTTGAACATTTATTTTTCTTAACCAACACATTTAAACCTACAATTTACTTGTGAGTTTAAAAGATGACACTAATGGTCTAGTCATTTTTTCAAAATTATGTGGCTATTGAGAGGTATATTGCCCTCTTTTGACATGCAAGCATACATGGAAGTGTGATGTCGTATTCAAGTGAAATAGAAAATAAGGTTTTTATGTGCCAAAAATGTGTCCCTCTGCCCAGTCTCTCAGAAAAATCTTTAGAGGAAATTCCACAGTGGTCATCACTGCATGTGTTGATGAAGTGATTCAAAGGAATGGAAGGGTAATTGATGCATTTTGCGTTTAAACAGAGTCTTAGAGAAACAGAGTCCCAGAGAGAGCTAGGGCATTGTTCATCATCTTGTAAGGGATGTTTTGCTATATACTACAGAGAGTGTTCCTTTAATGAATTCTTTTTAATGCAGTTGTGTTGGAGATTATCAGATAACACTGGAAGAAATGTGAAAAAGTTTCTCCCAGCTAACCACACTATCTAAAAATTATAATTCAGTTAATTCTAGAAAATATTAGCAGGATCTCTTTGCTAGAACAAAAGAACAAGAAAATTTCACAGCTTTCAATAATATAAAATGTGAAACAATACTAATCAAAGTAATTTTTCAGTTTTTAATCAGGTATGTGTTCACATAGGTTATGTGTGTTCAGATTTCAGTTGTGATGTGTGTTAATTTGGTCCTAGAGCATTGGAAATTTTAAGTACCACTTTATCAGACATATGTTATGTATATCTCAATACTTGACTTTTGATTATGTTATGTTCCAACAAATACATTAAAAATTGTGTATTCAGTATGTTAGAAATGAAACAGTACATTTTGCGAAGTAACAGACATGCAAAGAAATTCAGAAATGCTTCAAAGTCTATGAGTTAATAGCCATAATCAACAGTGTTGTAATATATGCAGATCAATACTTAAAACGTAAAATGCTCCAAGTTATAATTATGTATCATATTTGGTACTATAATCTCCCCAACATTTTTCAGTTAAAGTTTATCAATAAAAAAATAACTACATCCTGTTGTGTGTAACCTTCTTTGCCTATGAATACTATATAGGATAAAGACCATGCTGTGTGTAGCTTTACATTCATTAGATATCAATCACTGGTAAATTTTATTTGCAGTTGGAAAGTAGATCATTCCTATTAGAATTCCTCATTTGCATATTTTCATGTACTTTAATAGAACTTGTTTTTTGTAAGGATGCAGTTGGTAGTGTTTCTTAAGGTAGATTTCATAATGTGAAGTGACCTTTCCTCTTTACAGCAGTGAATGAGTGGAATATTTATTTCTAGTGACAAGGTAAATACAACAGTACAAACAAACAATGAAAGGTGTGCATAAAAGTGACGGAATTTATTACCTTAAAAATTCTCTAACGTGCCAGTAAGGCACTTTCAGAGTCGCCATCATGAAATTTTAAATAAACATGTCTTCAGCACTGTATTTTTTAGAATAAATCAATTTTTACAGTTCTGTTTTTCAAAATATAGTCTAGTTTTAAAAAGTGCACGTAATTATTTTTCTGCACGGTTTTTTTTTTTTTTTTAACTTTTCACAGAAATATTGCAAAGGTAAAATTTACGCACACATTTATTTTGAATAAACATGACAAATCTCGAAATTTTATAACACGTTAATTTTTAAATTTATAAAATACATTTTAATATTATAAACATAGTAACATTCTTATTGAAAGCAAATATTTTCATCTCTGTATCAAAATTTCTTCCTGTTTGTAAAAATTCTGTCAAGAAGCTGACTACTTCTATCTTGCAATTACTAGTCATTCTTTTAAGAATTCAATAGATTATGTACTTTTATAGGGCACTAAACATGCTTGTAATTTTAGTACTTGTATTGGTTACCTTACGGAAATCAAATGCCTTGGGGAATGATTAAAAAAAAAGAGTAAATAGTTCTATTACTTTTTTTTTTTTTTCAAGATTCCAATAGTAGTACTTTCTGATTAACAGTGGTATAATATTTATATGTTTTAATGTCATACATATTCTTTTCAGCGATACATTCAAGAGATGAATAATGAAGAATTTCAAAATCATATTGATTCCCTTTCTTCAATACGTCTTGAAAAACCGAAAAAGCTATCAATCCAAACTGCAAAATATTGGCTTGAAATAGTGTCACGCCATTATAATTTTGATCGAGGTAAAGAACTGAGATAATTTCTCAAGCTTTATTGCTTTACTTTGATAAGGAAAGATTCATTCTAATAAATATTGCTCTATTTTCAGATAATGTGGAAGTTGCTTGTCTTGCAACCATTACAAAAGAAGAGCTATATGCATATTTTAAGGTATTGTTTTCTAAAATATTGTTAATTTTTCTAAATAAGTCTGAAGAGCAATTTTTTGCTTATTCTAAATTTATAATTATAATTTTTGAAATGTAAGTACCCCCTTTTTTGGTAGGAACTTATAGCACCTGATGCCCCGAAGCGCAAAAAACTTTCTGTTCACGTTATATCATCAGCTACTAAGTCAACACATGAAACATCTGTTGACTTGCAATTTCCATATGTACCGGAACAAGAATCAAATGGTGATGGTCTGATACCTCCTCCACCTGCATTTAGGGTAAAACAAATGTGCATTTATAATATAATGTTATTGCATTAGCATTGATTGTTGTATTCAGTGTGCTGTCAAAAACAAATGTGGAATATCTGAGAAATGAGAAATATGAGACAGATTTTACTTATTATTTAGAAATGAGAAAAACAACTTCTTACATTATTACTAGTTTTCAACATTCAATAACAATCATCTTTTATAATCCAAATATATATCAAATGTTAACACTGGGAATAAAATATGCTACCAGAATTCATGCAATTTGGGAAAGTGAACATTTAATGTATTTAATCAAAAGAAAAACAACCTTTTTTACAACAAAAGGAATTCCAATATTGAAATATTTTCACATCATCAACAAAAGTTAAAATTTACATACATTGCTACTCACAAACTTGGTGAAAAACTGCTACAGAAAGAAAATCATTAAAATATGGAATTAGTTAAAATTTCAGATGTGACATCCCCCACCTTAAGTTGTCGGGAGGCAACTTAAGCGAAAGAAAACATTTTAAAGTTTTTATATGGCCAGTCTCTAGGGTGCCTTGATTATTGTCATCTTTTGATTGTTCATATTGTGTAGATCAAGTCTTTGGTACACCAGAATTTTCTTTGTTCATGCTTTCAGTTCTTCCATTTCTCACAGGGTTTTCAAGTGCTGTTGAACAGACTTCAAGAGGAAGTATTCTCTCTATTGACCTTAAGAATAGACTTCTGTTTGTCTTAACATGAACTAATCTCATCAGTTTAACTCTCTCAGGAAGCAACTCTGTTATAAGATACAGTGGCCATTCAACATCTTTTATACTATCATTTCTGATTGGTACTATGTCACTGAGTCTGATTTGTTGACTGTGCTGAATTAGAAGTCCTAAATGTTGGGACCTAAATCTTTTCCTAGCCTCTTTGATCAATTTTTTGTATACTTTAGCTTTTTGTTGAAAGAATTTTCATCAATTTGACCAAAGTTTGAAACATCAATTTGCCTGCAATCAGTTAAGAAGGAGCTTGCAGATAACTCGCTATATTTACTTTCATTTTTTGAAAGGTAGTTGGGAGGTTATGAGTTAACAATAGATTCTATGTCACATAAAAAGTTGCCATCTCTGTAACAAAGCAAAGCCTTTCATACTACTTTCCTAAGGATTTGCTTCATAACACCTATCAACCTTTCCCAAAAACCTCCCCATCGGTGAGCAGCTGGAGGATTTTTGTTGTGCTGTACTGTAAAATTTCATCCCACTTAAAGATTTTTTAAGTTGTCAGGTGCAACCACATAATTAGTGAGATTATCACAGTATACGAGCAAGGGTCTGCCTACTGAAACTCTGGGAAAATATCACTATGTTCAAAGATGGCAAAAGTTCAAAATGTAATGCACAATAGATGGCACGCGTAAATACAATTCCAAGATTTGTTTCCCTTTAAGTATTAGGACCCACCATGTCACTTCCCGACTATTTCAAAAACAGTAGAGTCCTTTACTTTGTTTTCTGGTAATGAAGGACTTGAAGCAGTCAAATTCCTTTTAGCATGTCTTGTGCAATTACCGCAGTTGGATATAACTGTTCTAATAGTTTTTCTTCCATTTACAATCTAGTAATATTCCCGTAATATATTGAGCAAATTCTGGGAGCCAGTGCGATAACTTTTAAAATGTTTGGTTACTATCAGGCAGTTAACAAGTTCATGATGTGGAGTCAGAATCACGGGATTTCAAAAATCTAAAAAGTGGTCCTTGTCCTCAGTCTGAGCAGACCCTCATTATCAATTTATGTTGTTAATATTCTCAGTTTCTTACAAGTATCTACTGTAAAATCTCCATGTTGAATAAATTTCACTACTTGCTTTGCAAGAGTGAAACAGAACAAGCAACTGACTGACTCACCAGGTGCATAACAGTCCTTTCTTGTGATATTGTATCTTTGTTCAATGTTTGTTCAGCAATAGACCAATCATTTTTAATCTGCTTGAGCCAAGTGAATCGCTCCTTCCATTTATTTTGTGACAGATGACTTACTGAGCAGCTTTTTGAACGAAGATCGGCTAAATTTAAAACTCCAGGAATTTACCTATATAGACTAGAATTTGTCAATTTCCTCACTCCTTCAACAAGGTTCTTCATGAAAATTGTCCAAGGATCATTTTTCTGAATCCACGTGGGTGAATTAGTCTAGAAGTATTGTTTAACATTATCCCATTGGAGATTTTCTGGTACTGTTTTACACTATCAAGCTCCCACTTGCAGCCAGAAGTTGGATGTGAACAGCATCAGAGTTCTCTGTTCAATTAAATACAGCTGCGGCTTATGCTTTGTCATTGGCAGCTAAAAACATATGTATACTATTGCCATTCATACAGCTGAAGTCTACTAAAAGACAAACTTCGATGGATACCTCCTTTAACTTGCAAAGTTCCAAAAACCATTTCAACCCCCTTAGTTTCATCTTAGTCCCACCCCTTAGACCCATGCATTTCCATAATTCAACATTTTCTGCAACAGCACTTTGGGTATTAATAAAACAGGACTTGTAAAGCCACTGGGGTCAAATTCTTTATATATATATATATGACTGAAAGAATAGATGTTTTTGATATACAGTCAAAAGTCGTTAATTTGGACACCCATAATCCGGAATGATCTATAATCCGGACCTCAAAGCTACAAACTTTCTGCGCATGCGCAGTAAAACCTTTACCACTGCGAATTTGCGTGTGTGCGTCCGCAAAATACGTTTACGAAAGCGCGTTTAATGTATAACGGACGGGATAAGCTAAGCTAAAATTATCTAATTATCTATTTCAGTTAATGTTGCAGATTGTGTTGTTCCTTAATCTTCGAATTGGATCCGAATTATTATTTTTTGCAGACTGTTAGAGCAATTTTATAAAAGTAAGCTTAAACTTTCGATTATGTCAAATAGAATTTCCGATATATGTTTACTAATATGTAAAGGATATACAAAGCGAAAGTATCTTTCGGAGTCCATTAAACAAAAAGTGGAATTGCTGCAAAAAATGGATAAAGCCATATCCTTTGTTTATCTAAACTTTAACGTTTGTTTATCTAAAGTTTGTTTATCTTTAACGCCGCGGCGGCGTGCAATGAATTGGAAGTTGATCTGTCAGCACTATCCTTATCTTAAGGGCAGATGTTTTTATTTTATTTGGCTTATAATTGCTTACTCAATGTAGTATTTCATCTCGATGTATTCCGTCTTTGATATGATTTAAATCAAATGCCTCGTCATTATAATTCGCTTCCGATAGCGAAGAAAGTGACAGAGGTTATTGAAAACAAAAAATTTCGATTGACAAATTAGTCGGTATTCTCGACACAGCAATTATAGGACTTGAACCGCGGAACTTTGTAACTGAACAAGAAATTATGTCTGCTTATAGAATTAAAAAGAATGTATTATCACATAAAAAACGAAGCAACTTAAACAACTTACATTGAAAGAAATGTTTAATAAAGTAAACAAATAAATATTAAGCTTTCTTTTTGTAAATTTTGATACCCTTTAGATCATAATTGTTCTTTATTTCGTAAATTACGGTTTCATATTTTTAATTTTATAATTTCTGCATGCCATTTTACCAGATTTAAACTGATGATCTATAATCCGGAAAAATCGATAATCCGGAATCGCCGAATTCCTGACGAGTCCGGATTAACGACTTTTGACTGTAGTTTGAAAATTATAATTTTCTAATCTCTCCTAGTTTACTTTAAGCACATTATCTTTGCAATCCCACTCTACTTCTGGTATGACTATAAATCAGTATGAATCCTGATCTGTATATTGCCATTCCTCTGAAATTAAATTTCCTGTTGAACATTATATGGGAAACTCCATCAAGAAAAGGTTCAGAGTTCCTATTCCTTACTCAAACTAGTCACCAGATTATCCACATAAAACTGTAGATATTTGTTAATTATCCACTTGTTGTAGTTGAGATTTTCTAGATATTTCTGTAGATGATAGCCAAGCACAGCTTCTAACAGAAAAGGGCTACGTTTTACACCAAACATCACTCTTTTGTGACGCACAATCTTCAACTTGTTGTCATTGCACCACAAGAAACAAAGGTAATCTTGATCTTCAGGTCGAATGCTATTTTACAGAAAAGCCTTTTAAATATTGAGAATGATGCCATAATCATGTAGCCTGAATCTTAAAAGAAGACTAAAAGTCAATTCTATAAAATGACATCCTGACTCTAAACAGTGATTCAAAGCAGAAGAGTTAACCTGTCTAGCTGATGCTTCGAAAACTGCACGTACTTGATTTGTCCCCTGTTGCTTTGTAATATGTCTATGAATTATATAATTTTCATGAAATACAACCTCATCTAATACTTCTTCAGTGTTTCTTAGTGAAAACCATTCCTTTAAAAGCCTTCTTCTATACTGAATTCCAATTCTCTGACTCAAGTTTTTTGGTTGTAATCTCCAGACATATCAAAACTATCTCTCAGTTGTTTCGAATAAGAGAATAATTGTCTTTCCACTGCTGAGCAACTTCATTATGCCCTTCATTGATTTTAATAGATCTTTCAAAGAACAGTTTGTTCTAAAGCTCCCTTTCTTCTTTTTTGGCTTTTGCCTCTGTGAGGTCGGTAATATCACCTCTAAACTAAAAACGTTGAAGATAGTAGCTACTTTTTAAGAACATTGGTATGGTAACTGCTGCAGTAACTTCCTTAGCAGCAGGGAAACTTATTTTCAGTATGAATGTCCATCCTAAATATGTTTCTGTAGCAATTAGTCCGCAGGTAGAATTTGTCTTTTCCCAGTGCAGTGAAGTGTCTCTGCATCACGTCAGCCAATTAAAACATCAGTCGATCGGTTGCTGTCATTGGCGTCAGTGATTACAGTGTTCATATATTTTAGTTCATCTCTCAAAAGTTAAATTCTTGCTGATACTTTGTCTTGGTCAAGAACATCAATATTGCAGAAAATTTACTATCCGAACTATCTAGTTCAGACACAATAATTA